TCCTTATCTTCCTCCCTCTGGGCATAGGTTTTCAGGACTCAATCAATATCACAACTCCTGCTGGGAAAACTCTCCTTCAGCAGAAGTTCTTAGTGGTAACGATGTGCTTTCTTGTTCCCTCAGACGGCGGTAGCAATGACTTTATGCAGCTGAGAAACACTTCACTTCCTCTTCTGGGTTTTCTTACTTCTGTGCACATCTTTGTAAATTGTCCCCTTATTAAACCTTTGAGTGTCCCTTTTAGGTGGGCCATCTCTTTCTACCTGGGATCCTGACCTGTAGAATCTCAACTCTCTCATCATATTATTCCATAGCGGGGTCAAACTCTATCACAAATAAGTAGAGGAGGGATGACTTGATGCAGATAAAATATTTCTATCAAATTTGCTCATCAAACTTACCTGGATATTTTTAAATTAGCATCTGTTTTGTACCAACTGTGCATCAGATACTAGATTAAAGGCATTATATACATTGTCTCATTAGATCCAGATGACAGCTGTGTGAATGGGAATATTCTCCATTCATAGATAAGGAAACTGAGATATGATATTTATCCACATAAAAGGAGATACTAATTGTTTAAAATAGGATATTAACCGAGGTATCTGTGTCCTCAAAGTCCGTATGCCATTTATATAAATTTGTTGTAGAAAATTTTTCATTCAGCATATTTCACTTAAAATAAGTAGATCGCCTGAATGACCCTTAACATATGACAAATGTCACAAAGAAATTTGGTGAGGAATTCACTGATCTTAAGAAATCACAAAGAGTAAGTGCAAATAAAGGTCTGACAGAGGGAAAAAATTAGGAGGCAGACTATAAAAGACTTCTTCTTTGAGAATAATCCTGCATTGAGTCATTTGAAATTGTGTCAGCTTAGACTGTAAATATGAGCTAACAACATGTGCCTCATGATCCTTTAGGACTTGGAAATGTAATTAGAACCATGCCATGCTGGGAACCTTTTAAAACTCATAAAGCCTGCTCACTGACGATGAGCTGATGAGTCATGAGAGATGGCAAGTGGGCTGCAGTTAAAAATGTTCAGAAAACTGAAATCAAAACCAAGTTATGACAATTTTACCAGCTGTTTGACCTTGGACAAGTTACATGACCTGCCTGAGTCTCTCTTCCCTAACGCATAAAATGGGTATAACAACAACTACCTCATAGGGATTTTGAGTATATTAATTTAAAAAAAGGCAAAAACATGTTAAGCATTATAAATTGTCATAAGACAACTAAAATAAGTATGATGTAGGCAATATCCATCATCAGAAAGGATGGGGAGGAACACTTGGATAGAGAGAATACACCTTTGCAGAACTCTAAAAATCTACCTTCCCTCTTATAGCATATGTTATTCCTTATTCTTCTCATACCATTTCACTTTTTGAGAACTACATCTCTGAAACACTAATGCATGGCTGGTAAACTCAGACTTATTTGTGACCAAACAATGAATTTTTCTCTCTTAGTTTTCTGGCTAACATGACTCTATTTCCCTTTATTTTCATTTATTTATCTAACCAACTAAGCACACCACACCCCCCCACCCCTTTTTTAAAGATTTTATTCATCCATTTCAAAGAGAGCAAGAATGAGGAGGGGGGGAAGGGGGAGAGAGAGAGAGAAGCATACACCCCCCACCCCTCCACCTTGTGCTGAGCAGGAAGCCCAACACGGGCCTCAGGCCTCACCCCGGCCTGATCCCAGGACCCAGAGATAATGATCTGAGCTGAAGGCAGATGCCCAACCAACTGAGCCACCCAGGTGCCCCAGAAAGCTCATTGTTATACATTATTATTATTTTTTTAATAATAAAAAATTATTATTATTATGCTTGTTTTTTGCTTTTCTTTTTGGTCAGGTTGGAATACTCTGGAATTCAGTATTGCTCAGTAGGCACAGACCCAAAAGACAAGACTTGAGTCCTCTGACTACTTGTATGACCTTGGAAAAGCTCTTGCTTTCTGGCCTCAGTTTTCCATCTGGAAAAGGAAGAGATTGGATTAGGACCCTCATAGCCATCTCTAGGTACAGGATGGCCACAACCTCGTCAACTGTAGTTATTGATACTGCCTCTCCTGTCCTATCAATAACATAAAATCCATGTCATGTCTGTTTCACTTAGTTGCTTTTTCAAGTCCAGTACTATGCTTTTGTGGCTGCTGGTTTTACTTCTTCTTCTTCTTTTTTTTTTTTTTTTTGCAAAGAAAGCAAGATTCTTGGTGTCTGATCATTCACAACAGGCATCAAGTGGTTTAAAAAGACTTCTTAGTGGATAAAATTATTTTCCACTGACATTTAGGTCCACATTGGCATTCATTAATAACCCAGCTGTCCCACCACCCTCCAAGAGGTGGCCTGAGTGGGAGCACAAAGGTCTTTAGTGTGATGAATAAAAATTGTTCTTTGTTATTGATGGATAAGTCACTTACTTAGTTTGAAAACCACACAGAATTGGTTGCTGAATTGGATATCTTGATGTGTTAATGAGCCACCTTTCCTTTTTTATAAAAATCTGTATTTTTTTTTTGATGTAATATGAGGCTTCTTTATCAATTTCATGTACAGAAACAATCTCTGTAGTCAAATTTATCATTCACGTTCATGCCCCCACATGAGAAGTAGTAGGTGAATATCTGTAGGAATACAGTTTATTGTCTGCTCCTCCACTCAGAAGTAACCCTGTGTCTGTCCAGTCTACACTCAGAACTTTGTCTTCATGAGCAGCCAGATCATAGAGAGGAGCCTTACAACTTCTTGTATCCCACAGTTTGACAATGTTATCTAAAGAACCTGAAATCAGCTGCTGCTCATGGGTAGGAGACCACTTTAATGATGTGACCCAGCCTGTATGTGAGGTTAGGGACAGCGACACCAAAGAACCATCTTTAGTTCGAGGATCCCACAGTCTGATATGCCTATCTGTGCTTCCAGATGCTAAACGTTTACAAAGTGGAGAATAGGATATACAATTAAACACTTTATTTCCTGTCAAAGTTGACTTAAGACTGCCAGACTCTACATCCCACACCCTAATTGTGTGGTCCCAAGATGCACTGCAGATTTCTTCAGCATCTGACCACAGAACTGAAGAAATTGCTTCCTTATGGCCAGAGAGGGTCACTATGGGAGTCCTCGTTAGTCCCAACTGCTCTGTTTTCTGTTTCTTTCTTGGTCGATTTGTGGATTCCTCCATTTCATCTTCTTCATCTGTAGGAACGGTAGACCAGATCTTTAGCATCTTATCCCAGGAGCCACTGCAAAATTTAGTTCCCGTACTATCAACAGCTATAGAATCCACACTTCCGGCATGACCTCTGCAGCAGTGCAGGACTTTCACTTTGTTTCTCTCCACATTCCACTCCCATAAGAGAATCGTCTGATCCATAGAGGCACTCAGTAGTAGGCAAGACAAACTATCTTTTTTCACCCAGGCCACATCTTTTACAACGTCTGTATGTCCCACAATTGTCATTATTGACTTTCCTTCCAAGGACCAGATCCGAGAAGTCTTATCATAAGAACCAGTCAAGATCCATTCCTCTGCCCCTTGGACGGAACTGATCCAGTCATCATGGAACATGCATTGCTCTGGCTGAGGAGCAGTGTACTTCTCCACATATTCCAGTTCCACAACCTCTTCTGAGGAGATGTTTTCCAGTTCCATGTGTTTGAGCAAGGGCATTCGCAGAAACTGACCCTTGATAAGGAAATCGAACTCCACATGTTTGTGGAACTCATTTTTGGCCTCCAGCAATTTATTGATGATGTTACTAAGGTCAGCAATTTCAGAGGCTGCAGGAATTGAGAAGGGAACATCATCTACCGCGTATTTCTTGTTGTCAGTGAAGAAGCGTGTCTGGAGCTGAGCCATGGCGAGGAGTACCCACAAGACTTGTCTACAGAAGCGTAAGTGGTAATAGGCAACAGGCGCTCTGGTCTGTTACAAAAAGAGGCAGCTCAACGTTAGCTTGCACAGGTACGCGAGAAGATGCAGTCTTCTGGGCTTCCGCTTTCCTTCCTCCGGCCTCCACCAAAAATCTGTATTTTTAAAGTCCATTTCTCTGTGATAGTTGATTTTTGTCTAACAGTAGAGGAGGAGACTCTAGTTTTCCCAAACTTTTTAAGCTCTAGCCCAAACATGCTGAAACAAGATCACTAGGAGAGAGGCCTGGTTATCTGAATATTTTACCAGTGCCCCAGTGATTCTTATCAAACAAATTTAGGACACAGTGTTGCTTCTCAAAATGTGATTGGTGGGCATCATTATCAGCCTCATCTGGGAGTTTGTAATGACTGACAAGGTTTCTGGTCCCACCTGAGGCCTAGCACATCAGAATCTGTATTTTAACAAGGTCCCCAGGTGTTTTGTGTACACGGTTATGGTTGAGAAGGTCTGGAGAGGCCTTTGATGACCATTACTAATGCTTGGTGCTATGCTCTGTAGTTCTAAGAACAGCTGTCCCATGTGGCTATTTGTGATT